GCCTTCGCCTACGAGGGGGGCACGGGGTGGGACTTCGTCTACGCCCGGAGGCTGCTGAGCAACGGCACCTACCGCCCCATCCACGACGCGGTCCTCGGCTTTGAGCACTGCGTGGTGGCCAAGGCCCGGCGCATCCTGGACGCGCCGCCGCGCTACCTCGCGCAGGTGAAGACGGACTGCCTGCTGACGCAGCGGCTGCCGAAGCGCTTCACGGAGCGGCTGCGGGCGCTGGAGGCGCTGCGCCACCCGGACGGCACGCCGGTCTACCGCGTAGAAGAGACGAAGCCGTTGCTGGGCAGCAGCAGGGTGCCGCGCATGGAGGCGGAGCGCCCCAAACAACGGAAGTGGAACAAGACGGACGACCCTGTCAACCACTGCCTGGCGGACAACTCCCTGCTGCTCACGGGCCTGCCGGGCACCGGAAAGACGCACCTGGCCCGGACGATCGTTGCGAGGCTGCGAGAGCAGGGCGAGGCGGTGCACCTGGTGTCCAAGACTCACTGCTCCGCGCAGAACCTGGGGCTGGGGGCGCAGACGGCCGACCACTGGGTGCGCAGGTACGTGCGCGGCGGCAGCGCGCAAAAGCTGGACTGGCTGGTTGTGGAGGAGATCACGCAGCTGGACATGGCGCTCTGGTCGCCCAGGTTGCCCGGCTGGCGTTGGCCAGCCCGACGACGTCACGCTGGCCACCCTGGGTGAGGTGCTGTTGGAGCCCACCCTGACCACGCTGGGGCAACTTCCTGGTGCGCTCCAACACTCGGCCAGCTTCACGGCGGGCGGCTTCGAGCTGGAGGGCTACGCCATGACCCTGAGCGCCTTGGCCTTCTGACGCCCGGGAGGCGCTTCTCCTTCGGCTGCCGCCAGTACCTGGTGATGTACGTCAGTGCGGCCGACAACGACTACGTGGGCGTCACCGGCACCTTCCTCGGCACGGCCACGCAGGGAGTGTGGAGCACGGCTCGACTTCAGCCAGAACACCCGAGGGAAGACCAGGTACGCCTGGTGGTCATGGACGTCTGTATCCGGGAGGCTGCTGTGGAGGCTGTGCTCAACAAGAACGCCAAGACGGTCGGCCAGGCCACCAAGCGCGCCACGCAGGAGCTGGTGGGGGATGACAAGAACTTCGTGGTCACGAACGACCTGGGCAGCGACTTCGCCACGCCGATTGCAACGTACGGCCATTGTGGACCGGGGCATCCAGGACCTGGCCACGCGCGTGGCCCGCAAGCGCGGGTAGTGGAGCGACCACTCTGAGCGAGCCGCGGGGGCCTGCAACGCCCGGCCACACGAGACGGTATACGGCACCCCCGAAAATGTGGAGAAGCAGCTGGCCACCGAGCTCCGGCTTCTACAGGAACGCCGACAAGTTCCAGCACAACAAGGACCTCACGGACCGGCGCATCAAGGCCGTGGAGGACGCAGGGGCTTTCCGAGCACCAACGAACGCGGCGAGGAGCTTCAACCCACAGTACAGCGACATGCAGCAACTGCGGGCCGTGGACTCAATGACCGTCCGGAGCACCGAGGGCCAGGAGACCCTACTGCCACCCCCCCCTGAGACTGGACGTTGGACGATCAAAACAAAGGTTGGAGGGGCTCGATCAAAGTCAAACTCGTAACGAGCAACAGCGATTGCGAATGTTTGTTAACAGACCAAACCACTGAAGGACAAAAATTAAATGCACACGCGGGCAAGGACCACTCTAACTACTATGACAAAATGTTCCCATTTGCTGGTCGCGTCTAGCTGGACAAAGCCTCTTTGGCTGGCTCGGCCCGCCCAAGTTCTGGCACTATCAGGGCACGGATGGCCAATTATTTGGTGGGTCCAGAACCGAATCGCACAGCCCTTTGAAAAGACCACACTGTTGGTTCTGCGATCTTGGCGAACAAATCTCCAGTTGTCTAGTGGTTCTTCTACGGCTGCTTCCCTTTCAACATGTACACCAATTCAAAAATACGGAATCGTTTTTTTGAAGGGCCACTGAACAACTGGGAATCAGGCGGTGTTTAGTGTGTAACATTTCCTGAAAATAAAACTGCATGTTAGCCCCAATTCAGCTGGTGGAGTCTGCAAGTGTAATCAACGATGCCCAAGGCCCTGATCTGGCCGGCTAATTGTCACTGTACCAACTTGGGGCCAATATGCTAATTGGAAAAAATATTGCTCACCATGATCAACAAATGACCCGAGAACTTGGATGTGGGTTTGTCTCAAAATTGGAGATGCCGTTTCTGGTTGGTTGTAAAAGGATACCAAAAGGAAAAAACGTCTCCCACATTCCCATGACACTCACTCCAGGCTTGCCAGTGGCACGCACGCGGTCTGACAAGCTTTTGTCTGTGATTACATCTCTGGCTTCAATCTGCTTTGCCACGAAACTGAATACGCTGTACCAAAAAGCTCTGAGACAAGGAAGACACAACGCTGTCAGGGCTCATGGTTTCACGTTGGGCCAGTGAGCGGGACAAGCAGCCGTCAAAGATTTGCCCAGAAAACTCTGAATCTCGCTCGCAGTTAGATACTTCCACCGCTGCCTTTCCAAGTTACGGGTGGTGTCCGGTGCCTGGCCACGGAACAGCAACCCCAGCATGCCAAGGGGCATATCCTGCTTCGGGTAGGCGCTGCCTAGTTTGGCTTGCATGCCCCTCACCAGGCAACTGGCCGTTGCATCCTTTTGATACACCCACATGGCGTCCACGATTTCCGTTTTAGAAAAAGTGGGCGACAGCACCGCTATAGGGGTATGTGTCGATCGGCTGCCCCTTCCACCAGGCCAGTATGACTTCTTGGTTGGTAGAATTTTCCTGCGGCACCTTCTCCACATACACCGCAGCGGGCCGTAGAGCCCCTTTTGCCAGTCCCAGCAGCTCGTGGGGCTCGCTGTACTTGGCCTCATAGCATCGAAGGCACAGAACGACCAGCAACACGGTCTCCCAGTCTTGGCCGCTCTCAACCTTTCCCGACCAGCTCGGGAGCTCCTCGATCCATGCACCAACCTGTTTCCAACCCAGGTGGCAGCATATCTGTCCCACATAGGCAAGAATTCACCGGATCTGCCCCCTTTTGGGGGATTCAGTGAGGGCATCGAAGGCTCGCACTGGATCGTGGTCTGGACCCCGCTCGCCAGTGAACAACTCTGACAGGAAAGACTCTGACAGGAAAGACTTTGCCAGGATTGGGAGCTCCGACTCTGCAGCAGGTATGATCTCCCGGAACCGCTCCTTCAGGTCCAAGTCCCCCGTCTTGACCGAGTAGATCAGGGACGGGATGTAGCCGAAATAGACGGCCTCCAACGGCGTCAAGGCCGCGCAGTTCGGGTGCATGCCTCTCAGCCTCTGCACCTCAGCGCACCTGGGCATTTTTATGGGGATCGCGGTACGAGAGCTTCCTGCGCCCTTGCCCAAGGCCCAAGACTTGATCGAGGCCAGCGCTGGTGGGGATGTGGGTGCTGAACACGAGGTGTCGTCCTGCAGGGTCAAGGAACATCTCTCGCAGGAATCTCCCCACATCTTGGTGGCCATCGGTTGGATTGGCTTTGAGCAAGACGTTCAGCTCATCCACGACGAGGACGACGTCCTGCTTGTCCGCCAGATATGCCTTCAAGGGTTTCTCGCTGCAGCGCACCGGCTCTGCATCTTTCTTGTCTGCGGGCTTGTTCTTCATTAGACTCACAGCAATGGCCCTCAGCATAGTGTCCAGTACCTTTTCGCCATCGAGCTTGTAGACGAGCGAATCCCCGTTGAAGCTGATGAAAATGGGGAGTTTCTCCTCCTTCTTCAGCCTGTCAAAGACCTTGCGAAGCATTATTGTCTTGCCGCCGCGCATGCAGCGGGAGAGCATGGCAGGAGGCACTTGCGGCTTCGTACTCTTTGTGACCAGTGGCAGATTGTCCTGGACTGCCTGCATGCAGTCATCAACGCAAGAGTCCAGCTCTAGGAACCTTTTGGGTCGGTCACCATCTGAAGGTCGCAAGCAAGCAGCGAGATTGAAGTCCTTGGCAGTGACGACCTGCTCACCTTCTCAGTGACAAGACCAAAAGCAAAGGTGGGCTGGAAAGCCACTGCCGGAGAGGGGGCATTGACAAGAAGAAACAATGGGGCCAGCTCCGCGGGGCGATCTCATTTGCGCACGGCAAGTGTGCCTTTTCTGCTGGGCCGTTTGCTGGAAGCAAGAGAAGCTGCAGTGACTTGTGTACTGAGTTGCCCTGTTGGTCAAAATACCCCAACGCACCAGCACTGGCGATCACATGAGCTCATCCTTCTGCAACAATCCTACAGCCAGCTCAAACTACAGGAGCCGGGAACCATGGAAACAATCCAGCACGACACCATCTGCAAAAGGTTTTCCTCTCCCTAATCTTTCTCTTGAGCAGCCAAACAACCCGCAAATACGCAAAGAACCAACCAATGCAACAACATAGCAAGGACGGCTTCTTCGGCTTGTTGGGCGCTACAAAGGCGGTTCCTTGCGCTTTCATTGAACAGGGCTTGCCCTCAAGTGTGTTTTTGCTTGTTGTTCCACATTTTGGGACAAAACGTTGGAAAGTTGTGTCCCGTTGCACTTCCTCACAAGAAGGGGTTGTGCCACAAACATGGCGAAGCTAACCCCCAGCAAGAACCTCACAACGCGTTTGTTGTCGTCACCGCGCAACAACACAATATCCCTTCCCCGATCGCGTCATTGCGACTGGCAAAAACCACCTGCTGCAATCGCAATTTGAGCCACGTTTCTTGAGAGGCACTTGTGGCAAAAAAATCTGTTCAAATCATCCGAGAAGCGCTGCATCAAAATAAACGTCAGCAATTACTATTACCAAGAACATAGCACAGCTGGCCCTCTTCGAGTTGCTGCATGTTGAAGCGTCTTCAAGGCATGGAAACACATACTTGATCACATATCCGTTTAGTATGAGTGAAACTAGCAGGCTTGTTTACAGGAAAGAATCTTCCCTTCCCTTCTCTTCCCTTTCTTTGCTCTCTCTTGCGCGCTTTTGCACTCACAGCAGCTGCAACACGTCCATCTCTGGGATTATACACCTACAACTCATGAGAGAGTATCTCTTCTCCTGTTGGCGTTTGGCCCAGGAAGAGCCGTCCTGAAATTTTTGTCTGCCGTCTTCACATGTGCTGCAAATCTGGAGCAACGCATTTGCCATGTCTGCAAGGTCGTCTCTGTGCTCCTCCTTTTGAGGCTTCCTGCCCTGCGCTCCCTTCCTGCCCTTCCGAGGCTTCCTAGTCTTGTCCTGGCATGATTTGGACAGCTGACTTGCGTTCTTCAGCAACCCATAGCAGCATTGCACTGCAATGAATTCGAGCATAGGAGTCGCCTTCCGCTTCACAGGGATCAAAAGGTCGTGGTGAGCATTCTTGATATTCCGGTTGGACTTGATGGCCTTCCCGACCTTGCTTTCGACACTAGCTTCATTGTCCGTCGGGTATTCCACACCATCACTCCAGCAAACTTCGAACGGCTCCAAGACAGCTCGCAAGTGCAGATCCTCCGTAGGGTAGATCTCCAAAAACGGGATCCAGGTGACGTTAGCACTCAGATTTCTTGCTATGCAGTGAAGGTGGAAGCGCGCAGCCAGGGAATTGGCCACCAGCTCTTCCCAAGGGCGCCCCCTTTCAGTGGCGCCCCTTTTCAAGTAATTCAGCAAATCTGGCAGGAGCCCTTCCAACGAAATGTTTCGCTGTTTCAAGTCGTTTTGGAGGGCGTCTTTGACATTGGTATCCTTACACCACCACAGCCGTGGAACCAGCACGGACTTGTTCTTTGGAAACGCTGCTCCTGCCCTGAAGATGTCTGACCACCTTAGTGAGGTTCCGGGCACAAACTGGTTGCCTTCTGCAGGCCATCGAACCGCCGAGCAAAGAACCAACGACAAAGCCACTTTGGGCTCAGCGAAATAAGGCGCTGCATCCGCGTACGAGCTTTCGAACTCATTCGACATGGCGTTGAGTGCAACCTGAGCAGTTGATGCCAACTCACCCCTGGTCTGGAAAGCCACCTCCAAAAGCCGGGGTACCCCGGCAGAGAAGAGGTAAATGTTGTTGAATTCCTCCTCCTGGTACTGCGTACCCCTCCAGCCTTTCATGGCTCGTCTGGCAGCTTGCAGTGACAATGGCTCTAGAGCTGGAGCTTTCTGGACCTTCAGCATGGTGTACTCGTCGGATGGCCTATCTTGCAGGATATTGACTGTGCCTGCGGAAAACATGCCAAGCCCCTGCGGGAATCGGCTCAATATTTGGGTGAAGACCGATTTCTGTCCACGATGTTGGCTCAGTTCATCGACCTTTCTGTTCACAAGCAGCTCTGCCTGATCGAGGAACAGTAAGCAAGGGCAGGCTGGTGTTGCATTGAAGGCTGCAGCCGTCACCAGAAGCCACTGCTCGAAGACATCCTTCCTTTCTTGACAAAATGAGCCAAGCCAAACTTCAAAGCTGCTGCGTCCCTCATTTGGTGTCGATACACGCTTGACGGCCTTCAGCGCTGCAATGAACTCCATGCGCTGAAAACTCACCACGAGCCCACTCACTTCAATGCTGTACCCGTGCAACAACTGTGACAGGTGCCACACGACGATGGCAGAAGCAATCCAACCGGCATCTTCCTGCGACGATAACTCTGGAATTTCTTGCGCATCAAATACCAAGAGCCGCCCGCACCGTCGACTTTCGGAAAAGTTTGAGACCTTCGCCAAATGACGAATGAGCGATGTCTTGCCGGTGCCCCGCGGGCTGTACAAGGCCAAGACCGTCGGCTTGTTGGTCTGTTTCCTTTGGATCTCCTCCATTTGCTCCACAACACTCTCAACAACCGCCTCTCTTTCCTCAAAAGGCCTCTCATTCTTGTTGTTGATTCGGCGGTTCAAAAAGCGGTCTTCCAAGTCCGAGAGATCTGCGGCGTTAAAACGAGGGAGCTCAACCTGCGCGGAAGGTGCCCAAATTTGAGGTGGCTATGCATGAGGGAATGCTGGGAAGGACAAACAATCGCAACAAACCAAACACGCATCGGCAATTGGTGAGAAAATCGATGACTAGCAGGTTCCTTCCCACTGATTCATGTATTGCAAAACGCTAACCATTCACAACACTCCACAAAGAAGCATGGGTACTTAGTGCGAAAGCCGAGCACTAGGAAAGCGAGGAACACACGGGTACCAAAACCGAAACAAAACCAAATTTTCCAGCAGGAACACTGCCCATGAAAGCAAAGCGGGAGATGCGCGGTTCAGCTCAACAATCCTTTTGTGGGGCTCCACGCTGAGCAAAACCACTGAGTTCCCAGGAACCCCGTTCAGGTTCTGTGGATGTGATCAGGGCAGCCCCACTGAAAGCATTTCCACGGGGGAAATCAAAACCACACAAAACGTCAAACGGCACGTCTCAACGTCACCCGGCAGCAGAAATACATTGTGCACACTTTAGCCATCTCCTCCATGCTCGTGCTGTCGGAACAAAATTTAACCTTCGGATTGCATTGTGTCTGCAGCAGCAACGACCATGGCAGAAGGGTAGGTCTTGCTCTTCAAAAGGCAGGCGACTGGAACAGCAGGCTCTTCAATATTTGCGGGTTCCCCCTCGACTGTTTGATAGTTTTGCGCTAAACACTCACACCAAATCAGGCAGATATGAACAGGTACGGAGAAAAATGAACAACAGAACGGGATGGAATGGCAGCAAAACGGGCAAAACATGGGCAAGAACACCGCCAGGGAGATCAAAGAGAACATTCATAGAATGCACTTGTGCCTGCAGCAGCAAGGACCCCAATGGGTGCAAAGACGTCAGAGTTTGCCCTCCCTCTCCCCGGCAGACGGGCAGGTCTTGCTCTTTCAAAAGCAGGCTGGGGGCAAGCGCGAAATCACTCACAACGATCAACGGCACGTCTCAATCAATGTCGACCAGCAGGAATGACCGACCTCCAACAAGGAAAGGCAACCATCCGTTCATGGGGGGTCCCTACCGAGCCTGCCAACGACAGGAAGCGCCGCAATCTGCACACATGTAATCTTGGGATTTCCTGGTTCTGTGGATGTTGATCAGGGCAGCCCCATTGGAACCGGGGGGGAAATCAAAACCGCACACAACGACCCACTGCACGTCTCAGAACAAAGTCAAGAGCAAACGATTTTCCAGCCGTGCCTGGGGCTCGTTCAGCAGCTGGATCTTCTCAGCCAGAAGCTCCGCTGGGCCCCGTGGGACTCCATCTGCCATCAGCTTCTCCAGCGTCAGCTTCAGCAGGGACTTGCCGGTTACCTCGTTCTCGCTGAGAATCTTCAGCACTCGGCCAATGCCTTTCTTGGTGTTTTCTGCAGGGCCTTTGAGACCACCAGCCGCCAGCACAGCCTTGGCCCAGGTGAGAACCTCCTCCTCGCCAAAGGACGCCACCTCCTCGCAGCTCTTGGCGAGCCAGTCCTGCCAGCACTCACCAACAACCAAGCCTGGCGCATGCGAGCCCCCGGCCTCCGCACCACTGTCCTGGCACGATTGCAACCGGCCAAATTTAGAACTGCTGATTGGAGCGTCCTGCTTCGGGCTGGCGCGCGAAGCAACTCCGCCACGCCCAGGGTGCCAGCTCGTCACCTCAAGAGCTGAAATTTAGGCAAAAAAATCACATCAACGCCGAGATCTGGACCTGTGCCCTGTGGGAATCCTGGCGGACCAATTGCACCAACTCGACTCACACACCTCAGCTGTGCGCACGAACCGACGGCCTCTTCCAAGCCCTTTTTGGTTGCTTTGGCCTGCGTCGCACGAAAACCGCTTGCGAATCTCAGACAAAGCACGCAGTCCTGCCTCCTCCACAAACTCGCGCAGTTTTTGTTGCAACTCGTCTTTCTTCCCTGAAAGGGTCCACTTCCCTGGATATATCTTCTGCGCTTTTCCTGAGCTCAACACTTTCACCGCTCTTGCAACCCCGACCCACGTGCTGCTCCAGCGGCGCAAGACGGCTTTGGTCTCTTTCACCGTGCCGTTGTCCTCCAGCACCCTGTCGGCTTCTGCGACCACCTGAGCGAGGCCAAGCTGGGACGTCGCTTTCTCTGAAGGTCCGCCGCCTCCTCGAGATCGAGCCGGTCCTGACAACCAACAAGCCCAACGTTCAAGCCCGATGCACGTGTCCCCCAGGCCTGGCCACTGTTGTCCTGGCGGCAACCGGCAAAAGATGCGAACAGGCTTCGGGTCGGAGGAGTCCTCTTGCGCAGCCCCGGCGCGCCGAGCGACTCCGGCATGCAACGGGTGCCGTTTTGCCTGAAAGAGCCAAAGTGCAATCTGCTTGCGCCTGCGGGCAACTCTGAGAACTGGGCCAATATGCTGTCCTGGCACTCAGCACGAAACAAGAACATCCAAAGGAGGGACTTCATGCTCCTTCAGCCCAGGAACTCCTCGAGCAAAGTCCTGGGCGGCGGCGACAAGGGACTCCTGAAACCCGAAAACCTTCGAAAAAAATGTGTCCCAAGACCCAGGCCGTGCTCGGCTGCACGAGCAGCGCCAATGCAATCCCGAGAAGGCAGAGGCACATACCTGGCCGCTGCCTACCGCGGGCACGGTAGCGTCACAAGCTTGCCAGCCTCGGCTTTTGGTCCTGGTCCGCATCATCGCCATGGCTATTCGAAAAGCGCTTGAGCGGCCTGCGATTCCTCAAGCACTGGCACTAGACCCATCGGGCAACCATTGCGAGCTGTTGTTGTGTCAGTGTTGATGAGTACCCTCGAGCCAAGTTCCAGAGCAAACACAAGATTGACTGGCTTCTTTGGCAACACCAACGCACGGGTGCTCCTCCTCCTTTTCACTCGCGGCCTGAAGGTCGGTCGGGACAAGCCTTGCAAGGCTTCGCAGCGTCCATCCGTCAGACTGGCTCACCCACATCCTGCCGCTGCATCAAAGTCCAAGCGAGATACCAAACTGGCCTGCCTGCAAAACAAGCAGCCGAAATCGGCACTGGGCCGCCAGGGCCTCAAGGGCGGGGGTTTCTGGGGTCCCGGATCACTGGGGCCTCTGGGGTCCCTGGTCCCGGCTGGGTTTTAGGGTCCCTACATTCCCTAGGGCCCCTAAGCTCCCTAAGGTTTCTAGGGTCCCTAGAGTTTTTGGGGTCCCTGCACACGTGTGCATCAGACGTCTCGCCAAGGCCCCAGAGTGCGCTCATCCCTGTCAACGCACGGCGGGCCCAGGGACCTACCTTAGGGACCTTAGGGACCTTAGGGACCTTAGGGAATAGAGGGACCTTAGGGACCCTAGCAACCCTGCAAACCCTACCCTAGGGACCCTAGGGACTCCGAGGACTCCCAGCGACCCAGGACCGAGCACTGGCACTGCCCCGTCATACAAAAACACCGACGACGTTCTCAGCCATGCGTTCTGAGGCTCAAACTTTAAAAGGCTGTGACTGCAGAAAGCGAGCAACGCAAGCCGACCTTCATTTCGCCATGGCGAAACAATACATGTTGCCTCTCTTGCGCAGACTCACGAATTTGCGAACCGAAGTGGCCAGGTCGGACGCGCCGCAACTACGGTGTCGGGCGCGAGCTCACGGGCGAGGAGCTTTCTTGAAGAAGGAAGACGGAAATCGCGGGCTGGAACGGTGGACTGGGCGGGCAAAAAAAACGTCTGTTCGGCGTACGCTTGCCCGACACTCGCCTGCTCGGCACCCCTAGCCTTCCTACACGCCGCTTGGACCCAGCGCCATCGCCACGCACAACAGCCTGACAAAAAACTTCGGGGTTAGGAGGCACATGCCGCAAAACAAGCCATTCCCCGATGTGACTTGCACGTATGATCGGGGAGAATGGGAATCGGGAAACCGTGCAAAAAGCTATTCTCCCCGGCCATACGTGCGCGTATGGCCGGGAGGATGCGCGGCCGAGCAAAAAAAAAATTGGACCCGTAAAAAAAGAATGGCAAGTTGGGAGACAACGACAGCTCACGGAGGCCGCGGACCGCCGCCCGGGCTCGCGCGGGGGCGGATGGAGCCGTCGTGCTGTAACTTGCGGCGCGGACCGGGGGCCTACGCGCTGCAGACGGGCAGCTGACCCGGGCGGGCCAGCACTACTACTCTTACCTGGGCCTGCGGCTTTGACTACAACCAGCCACTCAAGGGGCCCAACGACTACATCCTGCTGCGCAACGGGCAGAAGAAGCTCGTGCGCTCCCTGCAGGGCGGAAAGCACCGGCTAACCAGGCAAGGGCTTCTTCCGCGACAAGTGCTATGAGTACCTGGCCCACGTCGGGTCGTAGTGTCCACAAGGTTGCCCTGCAAGCTTAGCACGCGCGTGGGGCGTTGCGCCACACGCAGAACTCTCGCACCCCTCGGCGGAGATGTGCAAACCTGCAGGCTGTGCGCAACTGCCACAGCAAGAAGACGCTGAGAGAGAGCGCGCACCCACCAGCCTGGAGAGCCGCATGCGCCCGGCGTCATGGAGTACGCCCGGAGCCCCAAGCTGCCTTCTCTTGCTCTTGCTGGCCGCGGTGCTGGACCTGGGCGTCTGCCGCTGGGACCACATTGTGTTGGGCATCTCCGCGTGGAGCCATGTGGACGCGGCGGCGCTGGCGCATGGACGCCGCGTGGCAGGGCGAGGAGCACTGGCCAAGCTCAGCGTGAACGCGATGATAGGCGCGTGGGCGCGCAGCACGAAGGAGCGAGCTGGACGGCGCGGGCGCGGACTTCTCTCAGGCCTTCGCCTACGGGGGGGCATGGTGTGGGACTTCGTCTACGCCAGGAGACTGCTGAGCAACGGCACCTACCGCCCCATCCATGACGCGGTCCTGGGCTTTGAGCACTGGTGGCCAAGGCCCGGCGCATCCTGGACGCGCCGCCGCGCTACTCGCGCAGGTGAAGACTGACGCAGCGGCTGCCGAAGCGCTTCGCGGAGCGGCTGCGGGCGCTGGAGGCGCTGCGCCACCCGGACGGCACGCCGGCCTACCGCGTGGAAGACGAAGCCGTTGCTGGGCAGCAGGGCGCCGCGCATGGAGGCGGAGCGCCCCAAACAACGGAGGTGGAACGGGGTGGACGAACCCTGGGCCACTGCCTGGCGGCAACTCCCTGCTGCTCACGGGCCTGCCGGGCACCGGAAAGACGCACCTGGCCCGGCTCTCTCTGTAGAGAGGGTTTCCCAAATGCATTTTAACGCAGCTACAGAGCTTCTCACACTCGTCAGACCAGGAAACGACCCCGTCAGAGCAGATTTCTGAAAGCTAAAAACACTGCAGGACAGCTTGAGGATCCGCAGAAACGACCCCTCCAAGATGCTTGCAATTTGCCGCCTCGTTGCGTTTCTGCAATCCTCGCTTTGAGGGTTCCCAAAGAAAAAGAACCAAAAAAGTGAACGGTGCAAAAAAAAACAAAAAATGAACGGTGCAAAAAAACAAAAAATGAACGGTGCAAAAAACAAAAAGGGAAAGGGTTCCTTTGGCAAAGCTCGGCTTGCAGAAACGCAACGAGGCGGCAAATCACTGCGCATCTTGGAGGGGTCGTTTCTGCGGATCCTCAAGCTGTCCTGCAGTGTTTTTAGCTTTCAGAAATCTGCTCTGACGGGGTCGTTTCCTGGTCTGACGAGTGTGAGAAGCTCTGTAGCTGCGTTAAAATGCATTTGGGAAACCCTCTCTACAGAGAGAGTTTTGGAGAGCCCTCCTTCCATCTCCGTTTACCTCGTCGGAGGCCCCTTAAAAGGGACCTCCTCCTCGCTAAGCCTCCGATGGAAGGAGGGAGCTGCAACTCTCTGGCAGCATTTTATCGCGCAAATCTTGCTTCACACCGCTGACACCGCTGACACCGCTAACACCGCTGACACCACCGACACCACCGACACCACCGACACCACCGACACCGCTGCCGCCGTCGTGCCGCCGTGCTTGCAGTGCGCCGGCTTCTCCGCAGCTTGTGTCTAGGCGAATTCAAAACCGTTTTAGACGCTTCCAACAAAAAGCCATTAGCGCTCGCGAATTTTCAGGGGTGTACCTTGCACGGAGCAAGAGTTTTTTGAGAGATGCCGCTTGCAACAGGCCAAATTACTAATTGCTTGTTAGCCGTGACCCTGAAAAACCTCCATGCTACCCATGCTACCCATGCTACCCATGTGACCCGACTCAAAAGCGCAGCAACGCGCCTCTTGGCCGGATTTTTGACAGGTATCCCAGGTATCACAGGTAGCACGGGTAGCACGGGTAGCATGAGCATCTTTCGATTGTGAGACCGACACCACCGACACCGCTGACACCGCTGACACCGCTGACACCGCTGGATCCTAGAGAATCCCGCCGGGATAGGATTTCAATCCTGAAGCCACCCGAGTTTGATTCCTGCTTCTTAGGGTTTGGGGTGAGACGATAGGCAAAGGGCGATGGGAAAAATCAAGCTCTTCCCCACGCATACATTACGATCCCAGGTCTGGGTTCATGCAAATGCGCCAGCCTAGGCGAAC